TTTTATTTATTTATTTATTTATTTATTTATTTATTTATTTATTTATTTATTTCCAACTCGGCAGCAAGAAGACAAATCAAGACTGGGACAGGAAGAAAGGTGTTTCAGACTGAGGTTTTTAGATAAAGGCGGCACATTGCAAATTGCACTACAGTCTGACACTTTCTCTGACATCCTCTTCATCTTATTTCTGCAGGTTGGTACTCCTCATTTAGCCAGTTTTCATTCAGTCTCCACATGGGGTTTTTCAATCCTACATTTCCTCCTTTTTTGTATTGTGTCTCTTTCCTCTGTCCACCCCCTCCTTTTCATTCGTATGTAACAGGCTTCCAGCTTGAGTGAACGCGCCCGAGAGTAAATATATTTATCTTCTGTTCACATCAAATGCTTGTCTGCATGAACCACAGATGGTGGATTATGTGGACGGCTATCTTCATTCTTTCTTTTCTCTCCACTGGCCCGTTAAAGTCTGTCACCTTGTCTTTGTCTCTTTTACTCTCCTCCAATTAAACCTTTGCATAGCGAGCAGGTGAGCAGGTGTCTGCGCCGCTCCTGGCAGATCTGACACTCTTCTTTTCGGACAAGGAGGTGCGAACAAAAGGAACTGAGAGGAATTGGTTTGGCAACATCTAATGATTCATTAACACGCGCAAACAGTTCTAGACGAGGAAAATAAACACAATCATAAAGCGGCAGATGGGAAGCACTGCGTGCGCTGCAATTTGTAGCATCGAGGAGAGTATGGAGGGGAGCAATCAGTTTTGAAGTCACATCTCGATGTCTGTTTGCGAGCGAATGCTGACGTCTGGGTGATGTATGAGATTTACAGTATTTGTTTWAATGACATAAAATCAAAGGTAACGGAATGCAATGTGGATGGAGCTCAGTGGCAACAGTCAAATAAACACATTATTTTTAAGTCTCACCGGCTGCTATAGAAATGACACTGAAAGTGCTCTGACAATCTCAGTATTGCCTTTAAGTCTATAAAAGAACTGCGATTTTTCAAACTTTACATGAAGTCAATTTGAACAACTCACATCTTCCTCTGAACATGCCTTTTATTTRCAATTTAGCTTGTTAACAACACAGCTCAAATCAAAGATAAATAAAAAAACTTGTTGCATCTATTCGGTGCTCACATTGGACTACCAGACAATTGACATATTTGTCTGTCTAAACTAATGAAGACATACAGAGCTTGCAAATCTGGCTTTATTACATGTTTGGGCTTCATTTAATAAAACTGACACCTGTGACTCACCAGTTTGTCTTTGCTGAAAATTTTCACAATCTAAAATCAGAGGATATGCATGAAATATTTAGCTAAAAGGATCTATTTTCAACATTTTAGAAGAAATATTACCATGAGCATAACCACCATAGGTATAGGGTGGGACATGTCCGCCCCACTTCCAATATCTGCGCCCTCTGTCCCGCCCACTTTTTTCAGCCGAAGCAGAAAAAAAAAACCTTTAAAAAAATGTGCCCCTCCCCCACACTTTTAAGATGGTGATCACGCCCTTGAATATTACCTATACTAATATACTGACATTCTTTTAGACAACATAAAAGATGTGTTGTGAAAATGCTCCATAAATGTGAGTACGTTGCTCCATAAACAGTTAATACCACTGAGTATTGACTGATTCAATAAATTTAAATTCTCTGTATTAAAACATTTTTCCTTGATTAACCTACTAGACAGTTGTGTGTTTCTGCTCTCACTTGATAATATCAGTATCACAATGGGAACATTAGATTTACTTGGCTCAGTAAAACCACAGCTGACAAAGCTGCTAAAGTCACATTCAAACTAAAATATGAGATACAAGCTGGAGAGGATTTGGAGGAGAGGAGCTGTTTAATCTGGGACAGAAACTAGCAAAAACTCAATTTTGATTTCTTATAACTAATTAGATACTTATAATAATTTTCTCTGCATCATAAGGATATTTTTATATTAAGTCTGAGTTTTTCATTTTAAATGGCTAAAACTTTTCCAACTTTATATTTCATCTTTTCTTGTCCTGTCATGTTTCTTATTTAGCAGAAATACATCCCAGAGATTGATGGTGCCACCTGCTTGTTTAGATGAAGAAAACTAATTAAGAAGTTGATGCTCATGAACATTTTAGGGAAATTTTCAGTTCAATATACATACATATATAT